TACATATGGTCGAGGTGATACACCAGCTATGCCTTATACAGGATTTAAAGGTGAAAATGGTTTTGTAGCATATTATGAAGTAATAATAAATCTTTTTATATTTTGATTTCTTTTTTGTTTTCTTTGAATAATTTTCATTTCTAGAGTTGTATTCAAATTGTTTGTGAAAAAATGAAAGAAACATGGGATGCTAAACAACTTGTTCCATATATAGCAGGACCATATAATCAACCAAAAGCTGGTGTAGAAAATGTTCGAAGTATGAAATATAAGGTAAAAACAGAAGAGATTAATAAAATAAATTTGATAAATATGATCGCATTTTTTTTTGAAAAGGCAAATTATATAAAACAAAATAATTTGGGTGGTGCTATGATTTGGACACTTGATATGGATGATTTTCGTGGTCAATTTTGTTGTCAAGGAAAATTTCCATTGATACGAACAATTAAAGCTGTTTTACATGGACAACTTAAATTATTACCAAAAGAAAAAATTTGTTCAACTTGTCCAACTAATGAATATAAAAGTATAGAATATATTTATTAAAAAAAGAAGTACACATTGTATATGTATATTCATCTATAGATTTTAAACCAAATTCTCAATATCAACAACCACAAACAACTGAAAAACCAACTAAAAAACCAAAAATAACTAAACGTGATGTTGAAGGACCAAGTAAGATTGATCCTTTTTTTTTGTTTTGAAAAATCGAAAAAAGAAATTTTTATTATTTAGCACCAGAAGATGTATGTGAAGAATTAAAAGATGGACAATGGCCAGATCCAACTGATTGTAAGAGTTATTTCTTGTGTCGTGGTGTAGGTAGTCAATGGGGTGAACAAAAACGTGAAATGTGTTATGCTGGTAAGTATTAAACAATATCTCGAATAGACATAATTAATCATTCAAGAGTAGAACAATATGAATTTAATCCATAATAAAAGTTTGAATTAATTGACAAATATATGTATAGTAGTCTTATATTTATCCTGTTCTGCTCTGAGAGCAGATCAGTGCTCTCTAGTGGGTACATAAAGTTTAGCTCAACTATGCATAGAGGTTTATAAGCTAATGAGATATTTCGATCGTTTTTCTCTTCAGCTATTCTCTTGCGATTTCAATGATGTTTTGCATATAGATAACGCATATTATTCTATTAAAAACTCTACAAGGATTTGAATTCTTTAAAAAAAAAATTCAGACATTTTGAAGCAAGTCTCATCGAGGTATGAGACTTTCAAGATGTAGACCCTTTTCTATGGGTCATGTATACAACATGCTTTTTTTTGAAATTTTATGCCTCGAAGAGAATTTGTTGAAAACTTCTAAATTTTTTTAAGGATTTTCTATTGTGAATAGTTAACATTTATGATCTTTTGGTAGAGAAAAAATTGCCTATGTAAAAGAAACTGAATCAAATCATAGTGTACAGAATAATATATTTAGAAAAGACAGAAGATAATATAACATAAACGTCAAAATGTAGATGAAGAGAAGAAGAACACCCACATCTAGTGAGCTTCTTTGCGAGTTTACTAGAACGAGAAATAGCGACGAAGAAAATGAATGCTCACAATTGATTACAAGGCTATTAAAAGTTCCAGCTGATAATATATTTTTCTTAAACAAAAAAACCTGATGAATGAATGGTTTCTCTATAACTTTGGAAGGTTTTCTCCCTTAACAATTCTCCATTCCAAGCAGAACGAAACGAAACCTATGAATGAAATCAAACGACAACATAGAATTATTACTAATCTATGAAAGAAATGTAAGTAGGACAAACTATGTTGCTCGGTCTTAATGACGATCTTTGACATATATAACTGGTATAGTAATGAGAATATAAAATTATTCGTTCTAAATTTTTTTAACTAATAGATATAAATTGTATATTTATTATATTGTGAAAATTCAACTGTACAAAATAAAAATTGTTTTCTATGAAACTCGTGCTTATTGACATTGCATGAGAGTTTTAAAAAATTTAATAAATAATTTGTTTCTTTTTTTTTTTTATTCAGGTTCTTATTTTGATCCTAATGACAAAACATGTAAATGGGTTGGTGCTGATAAGGTTTATTTGACTTTCTTTTGTTTTTTTTCTATCATACTTATTTTTATTCTTAAATTTCTTTAGCTTAATTGTGAAGAATTAGTTGAAGGTTATGATAATCCAGTGGCTGGTGTAACACAATCAACATCAAATGATGACGATGACGTTGAAGATGAAGATATAACAGATGAAATGGGTATATCAACAAAAAAGAAACTATCTAAATCATCATCATCATCATCATCGTCATCATCAAATAAGGCAATATCAATATTAGGTCGATCAATGTCTGAATATGATACATGTACACCCGAAAAATCTGTTGAATTTGATCCTGTACAAGGTAATAGATGCATTCCTAATTTTTGTGTGACATGACTTGCTTCATCTTCTATAGCCTTCTATAGGTATGCTTTGTTACTCTTGCGAAAGTCAGAAGGAGAACAGCGATTGTCAATTAAATCCCAATCAAACAACGACGATGATGTGCGAATCGACACAACAAATTTGTTACAGCAAAAAAACCATAAACGCCGTCGGTAAAAAAAAGCAATACTAAGAAAATCTTCGTTATACAGTATATATATATATATAAATATGAATAATTTAAGGAAAACTAGTACAGTTCAGCCGTGGTTGTACAATGCCACCGTTATCGACGGGCAATACAACCCAAGAAGCACAATGTCTGTCAAGCAAAGCCGAAGGAAAGACTATATGCGTGAAATATTGCCAGGATACTTTATGCAACAATCAGGATATAAGGTTAATGTTTGTTTGAAAATCTTAAATTAAGATCTAGATTTGTTTTTTTTTCTTCAATAGCGATGGCGCACTACCAAACACAATCAATCGAATGACATTCGTCATTTATTATCTGTTAGCTCTGGTACTAATGATTATATCTATACAAGATTACTGTTAATCATGACATTTTTATTAATTTTTTTTTAGTTCGAATATGAACTAACTATTGAATGAGCACATATATCTCTCTTTCTTTTTGTTTTGTGTTTCTTATTAATCTTTCTTTGTTTTTCTTGTTTATTGCTCTGTACGTGTTTGATCTTATTGTCAAAAAGAAAAAGAAAAGCACTTTTAAAGAATTACAAGTACATTAGAATTGATTTATTACAAATAAGCAAATATTTAGCAACATTTCTCAAGGTTTATAAGGTCTTTTTATTTCTTATTATTTAATATTTGTTTATAATGTCAAATGAAAATGACATTTATCTAAGCGAACTCTTTAGCGTTTGATATTTACTCATTTTTTTCTATTACTCCATTTACAGATTTCATGGTCGACATGCTGCTTTTCTTTTGTCTTGAATATTCATGTACATATATATAAACCCAAGTCTATTTAATATTCTTCTTTTCATCAGTGAGTATTACTGAGCATTGACTATTCGTCGATTGAATCATACGAAAAGAGGTCGAATGCCAGGTGATGTAACGGTAACTAAGTTTTTCTTTTTTTAGTGTTTTTCTCTTTCTTAGTCGCCTTCATACGAAATCAAAACAAATCCTGATAAAAAATTATAAGAGTACAAAGAAAGGGAGAGAAAGAAAATGAAATGTTCTCTACTTTTAAAAGTACATGTGTGTATAGATCTATATGGGCTTGATGATTACCTTTTGGCCTTGCTACCATTGCGAGACACTTCACCTTCGCAACGTTTTTTTTGTCATACAAAAGAGAGAGAAAAGAAAAAATTGAGGCAGTTCTGAAAAAAAAAAAAGAAAATCTTATACAATGACACAAATTTTTCGCTATTGAAAATTTTTTTCTTTCATGATGACCTGATGTTTTAGGATACTAAATGGTACACTCTTTTTTCTCTTATTCAAACATTTTTATTATACTTCTCATATGTTTTTTTTTAATTATAGATACATTATTTATCTTTCTTATGTGGATAATAGTTAATTGTTTCAAAATATCAGTATGCCTGGTGGTGAAATAGATACGACTGCATTAATTATGTAAGTAATAAAACACCAAAGATTTATATTTAATGAAAAAGTTATCTTGATTTTTTAATTAAGCTCTATATGTGTAATTGTGCCGGCATTAATTGCTATTAGTGTTTGTGTGATTATCTATTTTTCATATCGAAAAAAAGATCGAAAACTACATCGTCAAACAAGTATGAACTATTTGATTTTATACATTTCATAAAAAGGAACCAAGTTCTTAGAGTCGATTCATAATTTTATACATGCATGATCATGTAAAAATGAAAAAAAAAGATTATAATGTTGATAATCGCTCGACGCACTCGAAAACCCTTGAGAAAGAGTAAAGTTTGTTCTAAATGTAATAAAATATTCTGTCATTGATTCATGTCAATAGTGATAATAAAATGAGTGAACTTCTTTTTATAAGTTTGTTATTTTTTGTAATAAAACAAATTGTTTCTTATTAGATAGATCATCATCATATGAATATGAACAACGACGCGAACGACTACCTCAAAATACTTATATAATCGATTTTTCACGCGTCCATAATTCTCAACAACAGCGTCGTCCGCGTGGACCACCACCTGTATTTGAACAATCACCACCATCATATGATACATCAATTATTCAAACAGGACGACAATCAATACCATTATTTTCACCTATACGTACAACACCATCAACAACAACAATTCATCGATCTTCACCAATTATAACTCCTTCTATATATTCAGCAATGCCACCATCTTATGCCGAAATATTTTTAAAACGTCATACATTACCCAATGGATGAAAAATCATTCGTTTATTTTATTTATTATTAATCATCGATTGTTTCTAGAAAATAGGTTCTTTTTTATTTCATTTTGTTTTTTCTCTTATTTATATTTTTTTTTACATTTTCTCTCATTCGCCTTATTTACATAATTTATAATTTGCAAGCCAAAAAAAAAACAAATGAGAAAAAGCATTATGCTTGAATTTGAACCATTCCGTGATTTTCATTTAATGTATATGTTATTAAAGTAGAACGAAATGAATTATCACGGCAATATGAAACCTTTTATAAAAAGGAAAAAAAACAAAGAATTTAATAAATAAATGAATCTTTTTAATTTTATCTTAAATACTTACCACACGTACTAATGAACATATTAAATCAGTAAAACCTAACATTGATGATAATATAAATATACTAAATGACCAATCAAATTTTTCATCTGCATTACTTTTAATTACAATAAATCCAACAACAATAAAGATAATAGTAGATAATGTAAATACTAAGGTTGTTAGAATAGCTAGTTCTTCTACAGAGAGAAGAACATTATAGACATATAATCTTTTCTAAACTTACCTAAAAGTAGATTAATACGAGAACGTTTTCGTTTGCATAAAAGAAAAATATTTAATAATTCCAATATCAAATTAATTGAACTGATTATAGAAAAAAACAATATTCCTCCTTGAGTAGTACTCCTTATATAACATAAAGTGCCATAATCATAACATGCCATTTTAATACCTATGTTAATAAAAGTTAATTATTGTATTATAAAAAAGGAAACAAAAAAAATTAGCGTTACACCTCGATGTTCGTTTCCATGAATATTTTGTATCCAATGATGAGTATGAAGTGATACAAATATTGTAATACATGTCATTAATTTGCATATCAAAATAAAACTACTTAACAATGGTGAATGCATTGGTGCAACTTGTCTATACTTTCGTATGATCGATTACGATTCTTTCATCGATTTCTAATAATAATTCTATTATATACATATCTTTTTTTAGATAAGCATCAAATTACAAAACAACAATTAAAGGTAATAGTTTGCTATTGAATATCAGCTTAATTTTTATCTTATATTATCTAATAAAATCTAATATAATTTCAAAACTATAATTGCAATCTCTTAAACACATACATTATTTCTGTGAATTATTTGATACTGTATATAGTAGTACTTCAATAACAAGTGTGATTTCTTGTTCTCTATGAAAATATAAAATATGATCTTTTATGATGTACTGTCTTTCTTTCATCGAATAAAAGATTTTTACAACATTTTAACAATCAACAATCGAAAATATTGATTGAAAAAAGCAAAATCGAATTAGAGAGTAAGACTCTATTGTTAAGTTTAAACAACACAATCAAGAATTGATTTATGTCTATAAGATTGTATACCATGGTTGGTTTCACTTGTTTCGTCATATTGACAATTATTCATCTATATATAAAACACAAAGCAATCAATAAATAAAAAAATAATAAAACTTACAATTCGAATTATTGAACAAATACAATCAACAGGAATGAGTATAGTAGCCAAGCCAAAAGCAAAAAATGTCCCATGAAGATGAACTATTCGCATTTCCATTGATATACGAATATGAACAATAGTAACCCAAATACAATGAATTGTAACAGCACATGATAAAGCAATACTTGTTTGTTCTAGATTAAAAAAATATATATATGCTTAAAAAAACAAATGAAATAAAATTTTGAATATACCAAGAAAACAATTTAATAATGTTGGAACACGTGACCATATTGGACATAATAAACTAAGATTAATAATTTCTAATACAAGACTAATAACTAAAAATGCACAAGGTGCAATAACAATTAAACGTGGTAATGGCATGTGATCTTCTAAATTACAAAATGCTCCATATGATATACATAAATCTTGAACTACATCTTTGTTTACTATACATAAAATAAACTTTATTATTTTATTTACAAAAACAAAACAAAACATATATCTCATTTTACCTGAATAGTTATCAATTTGAAACCAATGATATGCATAAACAGATACGAGTAAACACGCTAATGAAATAATTTTACAAGTTATAATAACAATAGACAAAATACCCATGTATATATATATATAGTTTGTAAATATAAACTTTTATATTGTGATAGATATATAATAGATAAGTATCTTATGACAAAATATCATTTGATCAAATACAAATACATACTGAATGAATTATCTAAATTATATATAGAAAAATTTGAGATTTGATGTATTAAATGAATACGATTCTAGTTTTAGAAATACAGCATTTTGTCATATACTGAGGATGACAGATACGACATATAGTGCTTTTTTTCAAATCGAATGACTATGTGTCTTATATAACATAAAAGAGAACATCATATTTAGCATTATATCTACAAGGAAAATGAATGTTTAAAGTGTAATCATGAAAGGAATTTTGGCTCACAATATAGAAAAAATTAAAATTTTCCTCGACAAAAACTTTTTATGCTTATATTTAAAATGCTAATTTTCATTAAACAAAGTGCTATATTTCATTCTTTTAAATAATAATTAATAGAATTCGTTATGAGGCTACTTCAAATACATAAAATATTATATACTTGCTGTTATGTATCTTTCTTTTCTTTGTTTATTATTATATACTTTAACTAAGCTAAGTCTCATAGTTGCCTGATACAAAATAGTTTCAATTGCGAACATAGAAAAGAAATAAAGAACGATAAAATAATTGCAAACGCAACCGAAGCTCAAAAACATAAACATATCGTTCAGGAAGCAATCGAATCTATCGTGCATTCAAACACATACCCGTTGCCTTAAGAGTTGTCGCATGCATATTATTTCTTCTAAGAGATCAATTGAAGGCCTAATGATGAGTTAAACTCAACGGATCTGAACCTGTCAAAATAACTTCCTCAAGACGTCGCCATTAAAGATATAAATGATTGTGTAAAATATGTTCAATTGTGATAGAAAAAGAAAAAAAGAAATGATCAGACTGATTAGCTAAATCATATGAAATTTTTATATAATAATAGAAAAAAGGAAAAATTTAAACTATAAATAATTCATCAACGTAATTCAATAACTATTCAGTGTTCATTATTTAAATAACATTTTTAGCATTGAATAATAATTAAAATAAGATTAAGAAATGTTTCATAAGAAGTTTGCGTATTTTGAGATTCCGAAAAATTCATAAACTGTTTTTATGATTCTTCGAAAAGAAAAAACATAATGAAAGATAGTTTCTATAATTACTACATCACATATCTTTATAAGCTTTGTCGTTAACAACAATCTATAGTTATTTTATTTTTCGTAAATCTCAAATATTGAACAAATATAACTTCTTTTAAAGATTGCAAACTTTTTTTTCTCTTACCATCAGGACATAGTTGAATGAATATTGTACAAGAAAAAAAGTCATCCTGTCCTACTTACCAAAATAGATTCTTTTAAAAATACGCATATTCTTATTTATTAAAATATGTTAACAGTTATATAAAAGAATAAAAATAACAGCACTTAATTTGACAAAGTGTGAAAAATACGCATAAAATGAAAAAACCTTTATCAACTGGAAAAATGTTTCTCTTGAACTATAGTAATTTATGAATTGAAAAGAAACTATTTTTTTCTTATTCTTTCATGACTTTATATAGAAGTAACCCATTATGATTCAAAATTACGGGAAAAAAATATAGAAATTCGTTTAATCAAATAGAATATTTATAGAAGTGCTATTTCATAACTATTTTTCATTTAAAATGAGTAAACAGTAGGAAAAAAACATAATAACGATTTGATACGATTATTTATGTCAAAATAGGTTTGCTCGACACGATGATTAATATATATATATAACAAACACGAAGAAAACATTTTAGGCTAAAACTAGAAGTTATGAAGAAAAAACACTCGTTTATTCTGTCTGATATAAATGTCAAACAGCTCTCAAAATTATATTGTCATGTATTGAGATCTTATTTCAGTGAGAATAAGAGAAGATAAACATCTGGTTTATTTGATATATGAACAAAAAGATGAAACAATATATTTGTTAGATGAGATGACAAAAGCACAATGAACAACCGTCTTTCAAAAAAGACGAACTACGCATATATATACATAAGTCACTTTAGGCAAGACGAGACATACTCACCTTTCATTTGACGTTGATCCTTTACACAAATTATTTTTCTGAATAAGTTCTTTTAGCAGGAGAATACGACAACAATGTTGGCTCTTGCAACTGACTATAAATTTAATAGTAATTAGCAAATATCTCGCTAACCATTTGTGAAAAAGATCTAAAAAAATCCAGAATAAACTGTATGACATGAATCGTATCTATGGCAAGATTTTCAGTAAGATCAAAATCCAAAAAAAAATCCGTTTCTCGAGATTCTATCAAGTCGTGAAAGAAAATTTTTTTTGTTTTATCATCATCTTGAGATTTCGAAAAAAGTGTTTTTATCGTTTGAAATTGATTCTAAACTTCTCCTGCGATGATAGAAGCATTTTTTCTTACTTCAACACGTCACTAACGACAAGTCAATCGTTTTTTTTTTTGGAAAAAGCTAGACGTGCTTAGAAAACACTTTGAATAGAAAATTTGTAGACTTAGAAGTTGTCTATTAATGTACTATTTAATTTCAAAAATGTTGCCTCAATGCGAAGTTGTCTTTTGAAACTAAAATGCCTCAAGTGAACGTCGATATTCTATGTTTGTGTCTCGCCGTCAGCACTGATTTCTTCAGGGTATCTAAAGTAACTTAATATACATATCTAATATATATGAAAATTAGGTCTGGGACAGTTCCTTATTCCAAGATACACGTGGTATAATTTTGCAAAGACACGTGTTAACAAATGATTATATAAGTGACTTGCAATGTTATTGTATTGTTTTGGAAAAAAAAAGATTTCGATTTGACCGATAATAATTTGTGTATTTTACTGTACTCTATAAGATTAAAAAAAAAACGAGTAAATGTTCTTGATTATGACTACTAATAGTACCAAGATATATGAGAATTGTTCAGAACCTATGGAAATATTTTTCCGCATACACTTCGAATAACTGCAGAAGTACGAGACGTTTGCAAAACTCATGAAAAATACTTGAAGTGAAAAGTTCAAAGAACTTTTTCCCAGTACTATGGTATACAATGGAAATTCAAGGTTCAATAAACGTGAGCAATATAAAACTAATTATGCCTTTTATACTAAATATATATTCATAATATGACACCATTCGCTCAAAATGACTTTTACACGATGCAATTCCGAATTAGTTCACAGTAACTTTGACAGTACCTAAGATACGAACTAAATTAATAAATATATAGTATGTTTACCTTACTCTTAATTGTCAAGTATAAAACATGTTATAATCTTGCGTGACATATTTCTTGTAGACAACCTTGCATGACATATTGACCCTATTTTTTCTTTTTTTTTTCTTATGCTGCAGAAGTTTTCTAATGTGAAAGTTTTCGATGATAGTTGATCACAATTCATGCATAACATTATATGAATTTTCATCTTAAACTAAATAGTTATAGATTAAAAACAGTGAAAAACTTTATTTTATAATATTAATAAACACGAAACAATACCAGGTTTCTTTCTCATTCTTTTGAATTTTATTTAATAGTATACCAATTTGAGATTCAGAAAAAAGAATCATGAAATAAAAAACATTAATCAATTTTTCAAAATTTAAACAAATTTAAGAAACGATCAGATTATACGACATGTTTTAAGATGAACTGGTAATAAAAATCGATCTTTTAAATCTTACTTGTTCAAAATCTTGACATTTATCTAAGATAAATTCTGACTTTTTGTGAGTACTAGTAAAGACTCATGAGTAGAACTTAATTGATTGAAAATACTTCAAGATATTGAACTTTTTCATATTAATATATAATAATACAATAAATTTGCACTGTACTCATATAAATGTCGTGACATGTTAGAATAGATCTCAAAGAAAGACTAGAACAGAACTAATGAATAAGGAGACAAAGGAGCAACACAAAACATTCCAACATATTGTAAACTAGTGATCAGAAGAAGATGAACACAACGCATGATTACTACTGCATCAGACATTACACACAAGAAAAGTTCTTATTAAAGAAGAAAACAAAAATAACGACTGAATAATATAATAGACGTTCTTTATAGTATAATTAATTAGAAAAAAAAAAAAAGAAATGTGATAATGTACGAGAAAAAAATTTAGCTATTCTATATATTACTCATATATCATAATGATTTTATCATATCCGGAAATGATTTAGATGTACAAAAGGAATTTATATCATAGACAATCATTAAACTTTAATGAAAGAATTCTTAGTTAATACTAGATATAGGAATGAAAAATGATATTTACCAAACAAGGTTATATGTTCTTTGATTTTTTTTTTTCTGTATAAAATACAAAAAACCAATATAGATAAAAACTATAAACACATAAGAAAGCTGATTTTCTATGAAAAAATGTGTGAATTGTTGGAAAAAAAAGAAAAAAAATTGTCAACAGGAAAATCATTGAACTTGAAAAAATGCAATAATTTTTTTATAATCTTGAAAAACAATTGTTGTCAAAAACAAAAGCTGTCAGCGCAATTCATGCGGTATTAAAATGTAAAACATCATGTAGCCGCTCTCGCTAATCACAGGAAGATTGTTGTACGAAAACAACTTTCTTATCCATCTTTTTATTTGATCATTCACAAATACAGGAAGGAAATAATTCATATAATAATGGATGTTCCATAATAAACGGGTCGAAATGTTTTCCTCATTTCAGAACAATTCTCAATGCATTTGCTCTACACAGAACTAGTGCCTTGATTTTTCAAATAATTTTTTGCCGCTACAAAATTTTAAAAAAAGTAAAATAACGATAAACACTTCATAAAAGTGTTTTACTGAAATTTCAAATATGCTACAAAGTTCTTCAAAGAATTCTGTATCTTTGGTATATGATTCAAAATTTGAGATTCATGTTCATTCACAAAAATCTAAATACGGCTGCTAGTTTCATCAGAAAACATGTCGAAAGACGCTCAAAAAAGGCAAGTTTTGCAGGAAAATGTACAAAGAATGTTTTTCGCAATGTTGGGACGTTTTTTTGCAAATGAAAATGACCTCTTTTTCATGCGTAGTGTATGTCAGAAATATTGCGACAAAACCTTTCTAATGAAAGTAGAACTGGTTTTAATATTTTATGAATGAACATGAAAATGTTCAAACGTGAACCACGTTTCTTATCTGCTGAGATAAGCAAAGAAAAATCATTCAACAAATACTTAGATTCATTTTTTTTTATTTTCGCGATTCATATTTAGACAATTAAATCAATAAAAATTATATGGTTGTATCTATATTGAAGATACAATTCTCCTGATGAAACGCTTTTTTCAAAAGCAAGTTTGTTTCTCTAGACGACAAGGTAGTTTTTATTGTAGTGAACTCTCAAGAGAAGTATAGAGTGACAGTGAAACGAGCTTATCAAAAATTTCATTTTTCTAATAATCGAATGGTAAATAGGTAATATTCTAACTTCTCCTACAGATCAAACTCATATAAATTAGGCATCAAATACCTTATGGTACTTGGATTTAACATCAGTAGCATCTTTTTTATTGTCATCAGTAATTTTTACAACAATACGCGTTAGCAATAGAACTTACCTGACAATATGAATAGCAACCTGGATTCATAACTCATTAAAAAAAAGAAAAAGTTAGTCAAACTCTAATGACTATGTATCATGCGAGAGAAAGCAACATCCAAAGCGGAATAATTGGAAGTCTTTTTCTTAATTATGATTCTTTTTTCCATAGAAACGGAATTTATCTTTCTAATCATAGGTATAAGCTACTCTGCAAGCTAATATGTTGACGTTAAAAAATTTTCATTTATTAAAATGATGTAAAAAAAAAATTCTGATTTCAAAATATAAATGTTTTATAAAGGAAACAATCTTCTACATATCTTCATCTCTTTGCTGATACAGAAATAAGGTAGCTTATTAATTGATTATTGTCTATATATAGAACTCATAATTGTGACATGTCATAAAAACTATCTTATCATGTAGATAAAAAAAACTAGCTCATGCAAATAATTCTTCATCAAAAGAATTGTAACTTGATCATAATCAGATGACTGTGATTGATTGAATTTTCAAATTATGAACCACAAAAATACAAAAAAAAAAGAATCAATCTGTTTCATAACTTTCGATATCTACTTTATGTTGATGAAAGAAAATTGTCCATAAGTCTCTTTCATTAGCAAAGAAATTTTTTCTTATATTTAAAAGAAAAATAATAAGTAACGACAATGCATAAGTATATCCGTTTCGTAACTAGACACGTGCGTGACCAAGTTTATTTGATTCCGGTGCCAGCTTAGTTCCGGTAGCTTCTTTTTGAGTAGTTCCGATTGCAGCAACGGTAAATCTAGTATATTCCTGATCCTACTAGCTGGAATTCGTCTCTTACATATCTACTTTGGTGTAACACTTACTAACAAAGAACAAAATTAACAATTGAAAAACAGATAAAATAATTTTTTTGAATAAAAATTTAATTTGTTTGAAATGACTGTTTTGAATCAAATCAAAAGATACAGCTTCTTCATCATCATTTATTCCAAATAAACATCTATTATCAAAGGATGTAGAAGAAACATATGCACGATTGAAACAAGGACGATTGTCTCCAGATGAACAATATGAATAAATGTATTCAGACGATGATGAAGTCATATTTAGGTGTTCATAATGATAATTTATCTAGTGATTAAGATTTAATATTTACAGATTTTTTTATTTATATTTATGCCATCTTATCTATCATGATATGTTGTTTTGTATAACAAGGTATTAGTATGAAAATAATTAACTAATTTAGGATATATGCAAAATTTTATTTGAAAAGTCGCAGAGTTAAGGATGCCAGATAATCTCGGATTTCAGTTCAGCACTTGTTTACTGATGATTTTATGACTGCATCTTATATACGATAGGCTATTTGATTTCAAATAGAAATGGCAGACTAGGGGGTCTTTAGAATTATTCATTTATATATACATAGCTATAAGCCTCCTTGTTTTTTTCGATGCTTCATCTATCCAGTGCATAGTACACAGAGTAATACGTAATTTCAAAGACTCCGTATTCGAAAAAAGGAATATTTAGCTGTATATAATTATCGATAATTTTTAAGCTTAATAGGTGCGTTGTCAAAAAAATAGACGTCATAAAGAGTCTGTATATGTATGTGTAGTAACGACTTACGCGAAACACCGCACTAGATGAATAAAACTGTCACTAGCTTAGAATGAACAGAATGTCGAATATCTTTTATGTATAATATAGTCCCCTCCACCAGGCTTCAGTCAATAGATAGGTTTATTTCGCTAGACTGTCTAAATTCCTATTCTTAGCCAACGCTGGGCATGAATTTATTCTAAACTTCATTTTGAAATGAAAATTCCGATAAACTCAAATCTTATATAGTGATTTTTAGTACGGATCTTTACATCCAAAGCTATTATATTATCTTCTTTTGTGTACATTTCATGAACTGTATTTCAATACAAATATAACAATAGAAAAGAAAAAATGTGATAGAACACGATGAGATTGTGCTGTTTCAAAATTTCTCATCAATCAATTTTATTCGTATTTTTCTATTCAAAAACAAAAAATATTTATGCAAAAAAGAAATGTCCTTTTCTAATAGCTTTATAATTTTTCAATGGGTTGTTTTGATGTAAAATAGAAAGAACGAAAAAAAAAATAATGTACTGTAGATTTATTCAATTTACAACCTAATATACCGTATCAACTTTTCGTTTTAATATTTCTTTCAAAACTGAATATAATTAAATTGATTTCAACAAAATATATTAAAATATATTTAAGACTGTTCTTTATTTCTACTAATAACAATACAAAGTAGTTTTTCTATCGATATTTTTTTGACACTACTTCAGTAATTTCAACAAATAGATAGACATTGTAAAGAGCATTTAAAAGTGTACACACTATATGAAAAGAAATGGTTCTAACTAAAGAAGTAAGAGAGAGTCATGAATTTCTTTCATCTTGTATATTTGTGTATGAATGAGATAATTTGTTGTATAAAAATGTCAAATAAATCGATTATTCTACTATCTTACGAACACTTCGTTCATTCAGTTCGTCACCTAGAATTCACTAGTGTTTGATCTTTCCGTTTTTATATTTTTTTGTTTTGTTTTGTATTTTTGTATACATAAAAAAAAAAATATTTAATGATATTTCCACATGCATATCTCTCGTATGTCGTAAGCAACAGCCTTTATTTTTGCAGAATAAATATACTATGAAAATGACTATTTATTTATGAAAATCACTTAAGTGATTGGAAAAATGTATTGAATGGAAAATTTCTGAGAACTTTTTCTCTTGATATATTATATAATTTATCTAGATGATCACAACTTAATGAAAGTGATTATTTTCATTAATCAAAGTGATAAATCTTTAACAAATATCATTTATTTTTATTTTTTTTTATTAAACGCATGACAATTTTGCATTTATTTAAAAAAATAATATTGTCATTTTATCAAATAAAAACACACCTCTAAATTATATGCATTAATAATATAGGTATGTGTATGTATGTATGTATGTATATGTCAATATATTCTTTAAAAAAAAGGAAAGAAATAGGCAGAGAGAAAAATCTTGAATAGAAGGTAGTAGATCATGGTTTTTTTTCTCATAACTATTCATTTATTCGACCTCATAATACTTCAAAGGTGCTTACTATGATCGAATAAAAGTACGAATATGCAAAACATAGAAAATATGCAACGACATGGTTTTATCAAATCGTTTTCAAATGATTCTAAAGAACATCAACCGCCATTATTTAATAATCAAGATTCATTATCGTTCGGACAATCCAAAGATAATAACCGATCACCTTTGAGAAATCCATTTTTGGATCATGATTCACATATATTAATGTAAGATTTAAATATATTTGATTTGAATAATTAAAGTAATAAAAATGAGCGCGTTTAAATTTTAGAGCTTCGGCTGTTCTAATTCCAATTATTTTTACTCTTATTCTATGTATAATCGTATGTTGTATTTATCGACATAATAAGAGACGATCTCAACGAGATATAAATTCATCAATAAGTAAATAACTTTAAATATTTTTATATTAAAAAAGATTGTTTTTTTTTGTTGATTAGAACCTATCAATCATCAACCTGATATGGGCGTACCACCAATCTATTTTAATCCCAACTATAAACCATTCACTTTGGAAGAACCACCACCATCCTACGATCTACTATCAAAAACAAAAAATGATTCATTAGATGCAAAAATAAATAATAATACTCAGTAACAGTTTTAGTAATCATCTACAAAGAATAAGACAAAAGTACTATCAATTATTTCAACATTATCTTATTCAAATTATATTAATTTAAATAAATAATAAACTATATGAATTTATAAATCTTAAACTGTGGTAATCTTTCGAGTGAAAACAAAACTCAATGAAATATTCAAACATGGTGAAAATGAAAATCTTTTTCATAACTTCTATTTTTTTACAGATATAAAAATAAAAATAATGCTCATAATGCAAAAGTTAATTTTCTCATATTATGTATTTCAAATCACCGGGTAGATTGCTCAGTACGATATGCACTATACTTATTATACTTGAAACCAGAGCGGGTAGTCTGGTTACAAAGAGTTCGATCAGTTTCGTGTATGATATCCACGATATTCGCTGAATAGTTGTTCTTCTGACGACAAGCACTTTTTAAAATCATAGAATATTCTACTTAAAACTTGAAATGGAAAATGTCTATACATATTGTTCTTCTTCAATATTTGCTGATGTTGATTACAAATAAATTTTTTCTTATATTTCTGTATTTATTTTGATAAATTTCTATCGAATAGATAATCGAGGTAGAATGTAAACTGTGATCAATATATATATTATTTTCTTAAATAGGTAGCATTCAATGCAGCATTTTTTTTCCAGATGATCATAGTGTCAGAAATGGCATATATTAATAATATTGATTTACCTTTGATTGATTTATTCAGCATGAAAACTGACAGGAATTTTATAGCAATTATTAATCTTAACAAACTTCAGACCCTTGTGCCAGAACGATTTTTATGAATTCTTCGATCAAAAATTCAATGATTTTTTGTCGGCATCATGCCACTTTGATTAAGGAAAACATCAACAATTTTCCGAATGAATGTTTTTTAACTATTACATAGCTCAATTATATATGTTCGGCATGCCATATTAAAATGAACCTTCAGTACACATTTAGAAGCTTGTCTTTTTGTTTATTAATGATCTTTCATTACTTGTAAGCAATGCAATAGATATTGTTGGCAACGATACCATCATCGACTTAAATTCAATTCTTTTTTTTTTCTTTAATACATATATTTTATTTGAGATAGAAATAGGCGTAACAGAAGCAAAAATTTTCTTGTTTTTTTTCTATTTACACCCTGAAGCTACATTTAAAAAGTTAACAGTGAGAAAGAAAAAAAAAACTCAATTTCAACGGTAAAAAAAAAGAACTCAAAATGTCGTTGTTTTTTTCCTTCAAAAAAAAATCCGATGAGGAAACCATTAAAATGGCAAAAAAAAAGGAGTTTCTTTTCTTTTCTTTTCTTTTTTTGTTTCTTCAAAAATCCAAACAAACGAAATTTTTTTAACTGTGTATGCGTGCGTAACAATTGACACAAAAAATGCTTATTGAAGTTGGTCTTACTTTATATATTCTCTTGATACAACAAGTTAGTATGGAAACAAGATTCGATCTTTTGAATTATTTTTATTTTTTTTATTATTAATTTCCTTTTTATATTAAATAGGTTCAAGCTGATGAGCTATGTTATTATCGTAATCAAACAACGATTACGCCGATTTAGTTAGTTCATATTAAAATTTGAAATTAAATAGAATAAATTCATTAAAAAATAATATATTTTTATTTTTTCAAGTTGTAAAAGTGCTTGTTGTTTTGGTACTCCTACTTCTCCACAAACAGCGTGTTGCTATAGTATCTCATGGAGATTGTAAGATTTGAAAAAAAAACAAAGCCTTTTGATTGTATAAAAATCTGTTTTTTTTTTTTCGTTTTTAGCATAGTACCTGTTATCATTATTGTAAGTCTTTGTGCTATAGCATTTTGCTCATTATGTTCACGACCATTTTTGAAACTTTGTGGTTCCGGATGTAAATTGCCTTTTGGAAGACAGTCTCGAGGTAATTTTTTTAATGCATCTTAAACTTCACCTTATATTAGATGTTTTAATAAAACCTAGTTATCAGATCATGTCCTACATCAGTCAATAATAATCCTGTTTATACAATCAATAATGATGATTTACCAGATTATGAAACAATAAGCAAAGATTCACTAGGAAAAGATACAACACCACCACCTTATAATTTTGTTGCTGCACATCCAACTGATTTTGGTATTGACACAGATGCTCCAAGTGCACCCCCACAATATCGTCCAAGATCTAGTACAGTAGCTACAATAGAACCTAACGCACCTATTTGATCGTAGTATTGATTTTCTTTTCTTATTTATCGGTGCTTGATGGAAATGTATTTTTTTTTTAAATACGATTTTATTCTTTTTTCACTGTTTGATATTTATCCTAAGCAGAGAGAAAAATACATTTTCATCACAAAAACAAAAATAATTTTTATTTATTTTACAGGTAAAACTTTTCTACATATATTTATCTTATGTATTACTTCTGCATCGGTACTTCTTATAATGTGATAAAATACAGTATCCATAATCTCATCATTGATAATATGACACATGTGCTACTCATACATACATACATAGACAAAATCAATTGATATGAAGAGAGACCGAATGTGATGTCTTTTCGTCTTTCTCTTTTTAGCTTATGGCCATAAGAAAAATCAAAGTATTCATTGACGGATAACAATTAAAGAGGAACAGGAAAAGAAAAAAAAGGAGGAGAAGCAAATAGCATCAATCCCCAAAAGAGGATGTGTACCATTTCTTTGATCTACAATAATAAGTTCATTGCATTTGACACTTTTGCTTGGTCGATCTTTCTGATCATCATCGATTAGTCTCATGAGACATGAGAAAGAAAATCGGAAGTACACCAGTGATATTTTATCCTTCGTTTTTTTTTTCGATTTTAAATCGTATGATCAGACATTGGCATACTGAGTTCAGTCTGACACCTATATAATAATAAATGACGCGTGCTTGGCACATCTGACAACTGTACTTTTCTTTTGATTTCTTCTCTACTTAGCAATTAAGTGTTACTTTTCTAATGCATTCTAGTAGTAAAATCAACATTGAACTCATCCATGTATTTTCTTTTTTGATGTTACCGACTCGTCTTTCAATTGATCACATTCAAGAAAAAAAATACATTAAGTACACATCGGTATAAAATACATGATCATACATGTATAATAATATGAATATGAAAAGAAACAACTAATTAAAATGTTCATTTGTTAATTGTAAGAGATAACAAAAAAAAATATTGAATTTAACTATTATATTGTTCTACGTCATAGAAATATGTTCGAATGAAAATTATATTTTTACTTTTTTATCATCAGCTACTCATACAATATACTCATTATTATCATATCTTGTCTGTTTATCCACGATTTCTATATACTTGTAAACATACTTTATATGTGCATGTGGCTTTTCTCATGTAGACAGAATGACGCCTATGACATACTGTTTATGACAAAAAACAAACAAAGAAACAGTTAATAATAATCATAATCATAATAGACGAGGCGAAGGAGAAGAAGTTCATCATGACAATTTATGAGCACCTGCAGTCGACGCCAATATCATGCAGATTGGAAATAATTGACATTAAATTGCCATTAGATAGACTTTTATTGAAACATAATCGATAGACTAATGTATTATTGTTGTTCTTTTTCTTTTTGATTCGATCATTCCACCTTTTTTTCTTTAGTTCGATTTTAAAAAGAACATCAATTCGTTGTTTGTTAATGAATACATACAAATTCTATTGGTCCCCAACGGATAGTATGTCTAGTCATCATCTATTCGGCATCTCTTTGAAACTTTACACATCACAAAATAAAACCAAAAAATAAAAAAAATTAGAACGCGTGGCAGTTTACAAACATTGACAGGTATATAAAATTAACGCGGTAGAACATCAAATAAAAAAATCTTGGTCAATTGAGACATTGTATTCTGATGAGTGGCTCTATTCGACATACGAGAACATTTGTCTGAATTGATCTCTTTTACAAAAAAGTGCGAGAACAAAGATATATATATATATAGACATATACAAAAAAAAAGTTAAGAGTCTTTTTTTTTTTTGTTATTGCCTATTCAATGAATTCTTCATTGTTTTGCACCACATGATCTATCTATTCATATTTATTCATGCGTATGTGTACCGTATTGTTATTTATTCACTAAACGATATACAATTGATACAATGTATAGTTCTTACAAGACAAAACAACAGGAAGAAGGTATTCAATTTTGAACAATCGGATCTATTTCTCACCTATATGTAAAACAATTACTCCGCCTATCAATATGATCGATCGTCATTTTGCGTGTGAATTAACATATAGAGACACAAACATACACAGTTAATCCTTTTTCAGCTCATCAGATAATTAATTCAATTTTATATCGAAATGATCGATCATATTCATAAAATTGTGTGCAGTACATATTTACTTTTCTTTTTCATACTAAAGCAATTAAACTAGAAAAATGATCATGAGAACAATAAATGTCACATAGACACGTGTCATCACTTGAATAATTTCATTCATTGTTTGCACCTGCACATCAATTATTTAATAGACAACAAAAAAAAAAGAGATAAAATCAACAATAATTTAATTGTTTTTAATAGAAGTGGGTCAATCAATAAGTGAATAAAATATTTAAACATCACTTTGATATTTGATAGAAGAACATTCAGCATGTCTGACTCTATACAAAAAAAAAATGATCCAATGTATAAACATATTTCATTGCTGCTTTTTATATTTAATGGAACATTTTTTTTAGTATCATCAACATCAATTATCAATAGATTTTTGATAAAAATTCCATTCTATTCACTTAATCAACATATGCTTCTCCCTTGATACATTCTATCTATTCTACTTAATACACTCAATTATCTCTCTTTATTCATCATTCTCAAATTAACATAAAATACCTAAATGGAGATTACTTGTCGTATTATTCTCAATGTTAAATTGTAACATGAATCTATTGTTGACTGAATGATTTTTCGCACTATTCGCATCATTCTTAAACAATGATTATATAAGAGTATACACTTGTATATGACATGAACAAGTAGCCATCATCTCTTTACACGTATATGTCAAGTTTTTTTTCAGACATGGAAATAAAAGTGTGGGAATACGATGACGACATCGAATAATGCACTTGTAAGATCAAATAAGCGAAAAAACATGTTTAACAAAAACTTTAATTTTTTAATCACTATCGTACTACACACAATACAGTTAATCATTTGTCTTTAATAAAAAGTTCAAAGTTCGTAGGCAAAATTTTAAAAAAAGAAAGAAATAAAATAAATGTTAGCAACAACTTTAAAAGCTTCAGAGCGTCACAAATACAACACAAACATAATAAAGAGAAAACAGTTGTCTTTATTAGCTTTGTTCATTTTTTAATCAGTGATTACTCATCATGAATGAAATGTATTTTATAGAGAAAGGGAAAAAGAAACGCATAATCACATACGAACAGCGACATCGGTCGAGAGAAAGAAAGACAAAGAGAGGGAGCAAGTAGCGGTCAAGTTGAATTGATGCCAAAAATAATTATAAGGAAAGAAAAGGTATTATTAAAGTATAGCTTTTCTGTTGCCAGACGACGCATGCATGCGAAAACTTGACCTTACGGTAAACAGGAAGGAAAGAAACGAAAAGTGAATTGTCCACACGAAAGAGAGGCGACCTCTCTCTTTCTTATAATCTCTTTGTCTCTCTCTCTCTCTCGCGCGCGCTTGTTCAATATCCGATCATATTAAATGAACATAGAACGAGAGAAAAGGAAAGAGAACATAATTATAGATTGTTTCTCTCGTCGTCGACAAACATAAATATGGAGTAGTGACCCTTAATCAGTCATTCTATCAAAAACACGATTGCTTATCGGACACTTTTCCTTTTCCTTATTGTTCACAGACGACATATACATATTGATACATAACACCATCTATACGTGTGAGGCCGCTCTATCACATATGGCTAATACAATCATACTACCATATACTGTTATTACAAATCCTCATATACCTAAACGATATCATTTACGTCGGTCTACAACAACGAATACAAAACAAAAACTTCATTCCACATCTTCATATATTGTACATAATTCCATATCAAATTTACCTGATATTGTTAATGATTGTCATAATCGACATAATGAAATAATAACTTCAAATAATGAAATGAAATTAATGTGTAAAGAAATAGCACATTCACTTCGTCTTGTTGCTGATCAAGTTGATAAAAAATATTGTCAAGTAAGTGTGAAAACATTTTTTCATTAATTGTATTTTTACTTCTATTTCTTTATATTTAGGATAGCGAATTTAATCAAAATCTTTATTGTTTATCAATACGTCTTGTTTTTCATACAACACATATTCGTACAATGCTTTATACATTATGGACACGAACATTTTTACCATTTATTCTATTAATTTACAAGACAAAAAAATTTTTTTAAATCGAACAACAATTATTAATGCATTATGATTTTAGTCATTTGTGTTTTGCTGTTTTTATATACTTGATAAAAAAATATATATATTGACATAATTTCGATGGTTGCTATCTTTTTTTTGTGTGTTTTGTTGTTCGAAGAACAGTGTGTCTTATATGTTTGTATTTGTTGAAGTAAAAACAAAATACATGCCATGAGAATTGATCAAAAATAATTCTTATTTTTTTTGTTTTATTGATTTGACGAATAAAGAAAGCACTAATGCAATTCTCATAGTAGAATAATAAAATTTAACTTGTATATTTTATAAATATGGATAAAGTCATTTGGATAAATTTATGTTTGATTTCATATATTACAAGAGCAAATAACCACATAATACACTAACACCAAAGATAGCTAATTGAACAATTCGTTTTAGTTTCTGTCTTTTTTTCTGATAATTATCATTTGTTTTATGATTAGTTATTGAATTGTTTGATAGAATATATGATATAAGTTTTTGTTTAACTTCAGTTAATGAAATCGATTGTAAATGATGATTTTCATTTAATATCGTATTCGTTGTAGATTGTTCAATAGAACGTTGTTGATTTATTGTTGATTGTTTTGTTGTTAATTGAATATTAAAATTAACTGCATGTAATATAATAGGACGATTAGATAATTTTAATGGAAAATATGGAATCATGATGGAAGGATAAAGTTGATGTGGTAAAGATTTTCCTAATGAAGATAGTGATGAACAATTCGAAAAAGATGAT